TCAAGATCTTCTCCGCATTGAGCTTCTATATTTCTCTAATATTTTGAATGCATAACACAGCAGCGGCCGACGCATCTCGTGGGCAAGACTAACAAAACATTAAAATGCAACAATGTCACTTGCATCATTATCACCGCATCTCGTGCGCCACCGATGACGCTCCCTGACGCACTCCTAACATTCAAATGCAAATATTCATTTTTATTATTCACAATCTCCTCATCACAGGCAGGCGCAGCACTCATGTTCATGTTTGTGTGAGCTGTCTGCGTCACTCATAGCACGTGCCTGTATCGTGCACTATATCGAAAAATTTTTATATCGTTATCGAAGAAGGTGTACCGTCGATAAATATCGATACCGTTTTATCGCCCAGGCCTATTTGTTCATTCAATTTCTTGAATGCTTCTGCTAAATACACCTATTGTACCTGAAAATAAAACACTGTTTGTTTTATTTGGATATTATGTGCATCTTTGTTCTTTTTTAATAACAAAGATAACGTAATGACAAAGATTTTTATCTTCGCCCACTTTGGCCTAAATATCCGCCATTCTTTTTTATATTTTGTTACCTTGAAAGGTATTGTCTTTATAATAGGGAAATTAGTTTGGCTGTAATGCTCAGACAACTCACAAAATAGTAAAACCAGCATGACATGAATCGTGATATGATATTTTTGCCATATCGCTCACCGCTAGTTTATAATCATATCTAAAGGTTTTGTTAGCGTAAGGCTTTTTTGTGCATCCGGGCTCTGGATCTCTGGGCACCACTGAAAGTGCATCATCTGTGTTTTCTGTATATAGTGATGTTTTGTGTGTATAGTGATGCAGAGATGCTGTCAGTAATGTCATCGTCATCAAACCTGAGCATGCAGTACCACAAACAAACTTCAGGCCAAATGTTAACAAGTGTCTGGAAGTCTTCAGCGTTTCAGATGGGTTCCTCTGGAAGAAATTATCTCCCCCCCGTGAGCACTATTGAGTGGACGGGAAAGGGGGTTATTTTTAGGGTGCTTTGAATGCCTTGCCTTATTTGGGACGGTTTACGAGCACTAGAGATCGTTCAGGGCCGCGAGACGCTTCAGGGCCGATGGTTTTGTGGGAGGTAGAAGACAAGAGACGTCCTGTACAAGAGAGCAGAACAATCACGTCACGATGATTACTTTTCCCAGCCAAATATCATCCCTGTATTCAAGTGATGTTTGGGTAAAGCTCACAAAGACAAAGACAGCTCATATTTTACTCCAAAATGAAGAATGAAAAGATTAAAATAAAATAAAAAATGTAACAAATTATATTTTACATAAAGAAAATGAGACCTCTAAAATCTCACAGACTGAGGAAAACCATTCTGCCTGATCACTGTTATATATATATATATATAATAATTTATATTTTGTTGATTAAAACTGTATTAAATTAAAATAGAAAAAAATATTTATATATATAAATAATACATTTATATGATTTTAATATATATATTTATTTATTATTTATTTATTTAATATTAGAAAGTCGCATTGCAAAGAAATCTTAGTGGTCCCAAAATAAGCTTAATTTTCTGTTTGCAGATTATAATGTATTTATTTCTTCTCTCTTTTGATTTTGGGATAAACTGTTTTGTTTTTTTTACAATTTCGATTATTTAGATTTTAGATTTTCTATGATACAGATACAGATCGATAAAATGTAATAATAATAAAAAGTTTAGAATAAACGTTTTGCACATTCTGTGTCACAGTGAAACTTGAGTTTTCAAATCAGTTTAGTCTTTAAGGATTTCACTGAATTAAATATTTAGTGATGCATCTGGAAATAAACAGCTTGCATGTGTTGTTTTGAATGTTTACCAGTTTAACCAGCAGTACTTTCTTGCTCATGAAGATGAAGCTGGCAGCTGGGAAATCTGCACCAGTAACCAGCACAAACTGGTCTGTCAGCACTAATAGTTATGCGTGTGTAAGATAACTAACCCATGAACCTGTGACAGATTGAGCTGGATTTGCATGGCTTCTCCTCTCGCTCACCTGCTCGTATATTGTTGGTATTATCAGTGATTATTCTGCGATGATGTTTAGTTGCGTCTGCGTGTTTTTTCCCATGTGTTTTATTTGTAGGTTCTCTGAAAAGGAACATGGAGCAACATCAAACAGAGGTGAGCAAATTAAAGCGGAAGTGCAGTTTTAATTTTCTGATCAAACTCATTTACAGCTGAGAATGTTATATTTATCATTTTCTTGATAAAGTCTGGTTGTGCTTTGTGTGTGGATTGTATTTTGTGTATAATAGTTTATCTTATGTGTTAATTATATTTGATTATAGGAGGTCGAAACACCAGAAGAGGAAATATGAGAGCAGAAGAATCCAGAGGTGCGTAAAACCTAAAACTCTTGATCATTTGGCCTAAAAAATTAATGTTTGATATAGATATGAGTTGATCTCAAACCTTTCAAGTACTTTTGATATTAGTATTCAAAAGTATACTTTTGAATACTTAGACCATTAAAATCTTAATTAGCAGCACATTTAATGCTTAAATGTTCAAATCTACATTAAAATTGGGAATAGATATTAGAAATAAGCATGGAAAAAGAAGTTATGAATAAATAAAACATGAATTTTGCAATAGCAAATACAATGATTCTCTTTCCATGTGCACTTTGTTTTTATATTTCATTTTAATTTTAAAACTTTTTTTAAAGTTTTTGTCATTTTGTTGTGTTTTGTCAATATTTTTTAAATGTCCACATAGTTTTCATTCAATTTAATTTCAGTTTCAGTTTCATTTTTTCAGTACATTAAGTTAAACTATTTGAAAATTAAAAATGTTGCCAAGTAAAAGTTTTCAAATAACAGAATTTGTTTTATGACATTAGTTTTACTTTTCGTTAACCTTAATAACCCTGTTTCTAGCATGTGTCAAGTTTAAAATACTAATATGTTTATTATTATTTTTATAATACTCTTTTTTTAGCAGCACTCTTTTAGCTATTTTATTCAACTACAATAAAATTCAAGCTCAAATTTCACTGGAAGCTTCTATAAAAATATTAAATTATGTATAACAGAATATTTTAAATATTACATTTAAACATTAAATATAAAGGAAATGAAATCTAAAAATATTAGGTAAAAATTCAAGCTCAATCTATTTTGGAAGCTATATAAAATATTAAATTGTATATATATATAATCATTTGATTAAGTATAAAATGGTACATATAAAATTCAAGCTAAATTTTCATTGGAAGCTTATATAAAAATGTTACATTTTATATCAAAATGAATATAAAAATGTAATTAAAATTTGAGCTTTGGAAGCTTATATAAATAAATAATAAAATAATTAATTATATAAATTATATAATTATTTTATATATATAATTATATAAAAAAAATTTTTTTTATAAAATAAAGTTTAGTTAAATATAAAAATAGTAAATTAAACAATATAAAAAATATTAAATTAAATATAAAAATATATTTAAAGCATATCCAGAATTGGAAGCTTATATAAAAATATGAAATTATCTCCTGCAGTCACAGTGGCACTGTGTGATTATAATAATCAAGACTCTTTCCATAGTAAGAGTTAATAGGAATTAATTCAATCATATTCTACAGTGTGTGTTGATGTGTTTGGGTTTTCTAGTTCGACAGCAGGCGTCAGACAGGAAGAGGAAGTGTGTTCCAGTGGAGGGCAGTAAAGCGAAGGGTAAAGACCGTCTGACGGGTCGAGCGAGGAGGTAAACTGACCTCAAACTGCTGACGGTTAATGTGCTGAAGCGTTTACAGTAACATCCCGCCACATTTCACCTCAAAGCCATTATGTCATACATTTACGCCCCCTCGGAGGATGATGGGAAATGCTTTTCAGAGCGATTTATGGTTTTGTGCATTTCCACTGCCATTAACGTTCAACCACGAAATCATCTGGTCACATGACCTCTTATAATTTGACTTTTAAAATCTTATTATGAGTTCAAAGCAGTTCCTTATTATACAGTAAATGGATGATCATTTACTCTTTACACACAGTAACTGAACAAAAAGCCCAGACTTTTTTTTCTAATCAAAGATATTGTAAATACTATTATAGAAGATAAAGATATTATTAAATTCTTATACATTGATGTATTTTTATTAAAGATGTTATAAATAATGTCATCTTAAATCACTAACTAAAAATACAGTTATATATATATATATATTTATTTATTTATTAGTGATTGACTTGGCTTGTTTGTTTTTAATTTTAAAATAAAAATAAAATAAAATATTATATTATATTAAATATAATATTAATATAAAATTTTATAATGTTAAATATTAAATTTAAATGTAATAATTTTATTTTAATAATTACTAATAAAAATACATTAAGAAACAACATATATCTTCAATTGTAATATCACAATATCTTTGATACTAAAACATTTCTTTATAACAATTAAAATTTCTAATAGTAAATTAATATCCATTTTCTGTATGATAACAAGGAACTGTTGTGAACTTTAGCCTGCAAATCATTTCTTGGTTTTGCCCTCATAGGTGGGATGCTAAAGAGCAGGAGGAGCATTTGCAGGTGATTTTTATTATTATTATTAGTACTACTGCAGTATTGAATTTGGGAAATTTCATTGAAAAATGAAATTTTTATGAATATAATTTTCACAATAATATGCATTAATAGTCCTAAATATAGGGTAACTTCTGGACATGTTTTCATGAAATTCACTAAAAATGATCAAGTTGGAATGAAATGTGCTTAATTTTTATGAAAATAATTTTATTTCTAAACAGGCTTTAAATTCTGTCTTAATTATAATTTTTTATTTTGATTTTTGGGGTAAAGGCTAGATATACGTTTTCGTGAAATTCACTCAAAACTGATCAAGTTGGGAATGAAAATGTTCCTAATTTTTATAAAAAGAATGTAACAAAATAAATGAATAATCCTAAATAAAGGCTTCAAATTCTATTTATGATTTTTTTTTTTTTTTTTCAGATTTTTGGGGTAGTTCTGGATATGTTTTCATGAAGTTTTGTGATGTTTGAGATGAAAATTTGCTTAATTTCTATGAATATATTTGCACAATATAATATATTAATAGTCTTAAAGATAGGCTTTAAAATATGTCTTAAGTATTTTTTTTATATATATTTAGATTTTTGGGGTAACTTCTTGATGTTTTCATGAAATTCACTCAAAACCGTTGAAGTTTGAGGTTAAAGTGTAGCCCTTTCTAATATCCTATACACCCGATGGTTGATTTCTGCTAGGTGTATCCAGAGAGCAGTTTGCAGGAGTTTTTAGAGGAACTCGACGCTCTTTGTGCTCCTGAGGTGGAGAACGTCAATCCAGAGACTGGCATTGAAAACACAAAGCCACGTGCATCTGAAGACTCATTCAAAACCACCGGAGTCAAGACCCCCGACGGGACGGCAGAGCAGAATGGACGTGTTTCTACAGAATCCGCTCTCAAGGCCACCGAGAAAAAGGTCCAGTTTTCTGAAAACCACGACAGGAATGGCACAGAAAAAACTTCACAGGTCAAGAACGGCCCTCTAGAAAAAGACAGCCGAACACTGGAGCGAGACGACAGCGAATGTATCCCGGAGGAGACAAAACCAGCCTCTCCGGATCGGGAAAACCACGTGGAGAAACTGAATCCGCTCACTGAAGGAAGTGCAACTGAAGCCGGCGAAGCGTCGTGTCCCAAAGCCGGAGATGTTCGTATATCAGCAGAACCGGACGAGAACCAACCTGTCGAACACAGCAAGAGCTGCTCAAACAGAGGGAACGGTACGAGAACATCAGTTACGGGTTCAATAGAGAGCAGCGGTCGGGTTACAGAAATATAAACTCTATTCATTTTCTCCATAGGGGAAGTGAGATTTAGCTTATAAACTGTTAAAGACAGAATTACTGAGCTCCGAGCTTGTTAAACAATGGTATGCTGTTGTCAGACTGCATTATTTCAACTTATTTTTACAATAATTGTCTTTAAAATTCGAATTTGTGGTGAAAAACTACATTACCCATAATGCTGTACAGAAAGTTCCACCAGTAAGCCAAAAAGCTCCGCACACTCCCATGAAGGACCGCGAGTGATATTTGTATTATTAGATGCATATTTTGTAACAAAATATATTTTCTACAGATATAATCAACAACTTTAAATGAACTTTTTTTTT